CAAAATTGGAGGCAAAGAGGTAGAATTTTCCGAATACAACTGGGCTTCTGGAATGAAAACTGTCAAGAGTTTTCAGTGGTTTTGAAATTGAGTGATCACATGAATCACTCCATTGTTCTCTCTAGACTTTAAATTGGGTTATTATGAAATCTAAAAACTTCACTTAATGTATTAGTTCTCTTCACCAGCAATGTCTGTACTTCTTTCCAACAATGCTTAGCACCTGGAGAGGCAGAGAGAAATTAAGCAAATTCTTGGTCAGGTCTGCATCATAGGTGGACTAAAAGACATTCTTCTGTGATGAGGATGGTCATTGGCTTAGCTTCTCTCTGAGCACTACCAGGAATATGAGGCTAGCAACAGTGCCAACAGACACAGTTCAGTATCCTACCAGCCCACAGAGCAAACAGTACTAGCAGGATGACAACCCATGGAAAACACTGGTGCAGCAGATCAAAAGTTCTATTAAAGGAATAAATTATCACATATAAATATAAATAAAAATTATGGAATGAATTATGAAGAGAAACAACAGTAGTCAAATGAGTTCCAATCCTACTGAGAGTGTTAAACGATAAATGTGTGCAAGGCCACTGAAATGGTTACCTGTGTGACTTAAGCACAAAGTCCTGGGAATTTGCAAGCTATTTTCCACTTTCTGCTGGTAGTCTTCTGTTTCCCAACACTGTCAGCATCACAGAGGCCGTGAATGGGAAACCCATGGGAGCTGGCAGCTGAGCCTTCAAAGGCATAATGTGCCAGCTTGGGAAGATGTTTCATTCCAAGACAGACATCCAAGTTCACCTCTGAAAAGAAACCATAGCCAACAGGATCCATCACTATCTACGACCTTACATTTGTGTATTCTTCTACCCAAAGTGTTATTTGGACAAGAAAATGCAAGGGGTGAGAGGACCTCCAGAGACTGAGTCTCAGTAAATTTTATCTCTTAAATGCAGGAAAAGTAACTAAGACACAACGTCTGTAAATTTCCTCTCACTCCTTGGATTTTCTCTCATTGCTGAGAAACAATACCTGACACCCAAAGTTGATGCAGCAGAGATTTAGCTAGCTGGCAGTTTTATTGCCTAAGTATCTGGCTCCAGGCCAGGGTGGCAAGGTCCACAGGCATTGCAG